GGGATTTGGGGTCATGGGGCGAGGTTTGGGGGGGGGGGGGATTTGGGGGGGGGGGGGGGGGTTTGGGGGAAAATGGGATTTGGGGTCACGGGGGGGAGGGAAAATGGGATTTGGGGTTATGACAGGGGAGATTTGGGGTCACGGGAGGGGGGAAATTGGGATTGGGGGTCATGGGAGGGGGAGATTTGGGGTCACAGGAGGGGGAAAATGGGATTTGGGGTCACGGGAGAGGGAAAATGGGATTTGGGGTCACGGGGGCGAGGTTTGGGGGGAAAATGGGATTTGGGGTCACGGGAGAGGGAAAATGGGATTTGGGGTCATGGAAGGGGGAGATTTGGGGAGAAATGGGATTTGGGGTCATGAGAGGGAGAGATTTGGGGGAAAATGGGATTTCGGGTCACAGGATGGAGGGAAAATGGGATTTGGGGTCATAGCCGGGGGAGATTTGGGGTTGTGAGGGGGGAGATTTGGAGGGAAAATGGGATTTTGGGGATTCCCATCAGGATTTTGGGGATTCCCGTTGGGATTTTGGGGATTCCTGCTGGGATTTTGGGGATTCCTGTCGGGATTTTGGTGATTCCCATCGGGATTTTGGGGATTCCCGTCGGGATTTTGGTGATTCCCATCGGGATTTTGGGGATTCCTGCTGGGATTTTGGAAATTCCACTCAGGATTTTGGTGATTCCCATCAGGATTTTGGGGATTCCCATCAGGATTTTGGTGATTCCCATCAGGATTTTGGGGATTCCCGTCGGGATTTTGGTGATTCCCGTCGGGATTTTGGGGATTCCCATCGGGATTTTGGTGATTCCCATCGGGATTTTGGTGATTCCCATCAGGATTTTGGTGATTCCCATCGGGATTTTGGGGGTTCCCATCGGGATTTTGGGGATTCCCATCGGGATTTTGGGGATTCCCATCAGGATTTTGGTGATTCCCATCAGGATTTTGGTGATTCCCATCAGGATTTTGGTGATTCCCGTCGGGATTTTGGTGATTCCCATGGATTTTGGGTATTCCCATCAGGATTTTGGTGATTCCCATCAGGATTTTGGTGATTCCCGTCAGGATTTTGGGGATTCCCGTCGGGATTTTGGGGATTCCCGCGCGCTCGGGCTCTCACCGGGTCTCCACGGTGAATTTGTTGGGTTGGTTGGTGGTGCCGCTCTGGATGCCGGGGCCGTGCACCCGCACCCGCCCGGGGTCGCAGCCCTCGGTGACGGGGACGCGGAACGGGCTCAGCGGCACCGGGGACCCCCCGTAGCTCACGTCCACCTTGTGCAGGCCTGGGGGGACACGGGTCACCCCAACCCCACCCAAAATCCCCCAAAAACCCC